CGTTACTACTATATTGTAGCGGTTTCATGGATATGAGCCAAAGCTCCGGATCTAAGGAATGCCAGCCAATACAATCATGTATAGATTTCTTTAAACGAAATTGTCTGTCGTAGTTTGCCCAACCGTCGTGTCTTGTTGCAGCAAGCCTTATATTGGCTAAATACTGCAAAAGGTTATTCATTTCATTAGGAAATTTCTGAGTATATATGTAAATAAAAATAATAAAGGCATCCGACCAAGATTCGATCCTTTCTAGTGTCTTATCGGAGTGTTTACTTTTCTCCGAGATGATTATTTCACCATTGACTACATGTAATTTCTGTTCTGATTTTATATTATTTTGCAGCAGGTCATGAAGCTCAATGAATTGATTATTCCATATTTTTCCTTTTATACTTTCTTTAACGTTAGCGGCTAACATATTAGTACCACAAGATTTGACAATGTTTGAAGGAAAATCAACAGTATTACCATTATCATGCTGCTGTTGGTCTTCCAATACCGATGCCTGACTATTGTTTTCCACCTCCGGTAGAACTGACTGTGATTGTGTAGCGACTATATCCGGTCTGCCAAGTGGCCTCTGGGTGTGCAACCGTGCACTCCGAACAGCCTTTACTTGTGCTGGCAATGAATTTGCTTTTCGTTTCGGCATTTTAACTCAGTACGAAATCGATATGAAAGAAAGAAAAATAAATATAAAGTGTACGTGCTCTGACGTCAGAAATCAACAGTCACTGTGACGTCATTAAACATTAAATTTTTCAGACAGTCAACCTTAAACTTATCAATCACAATTTTAGTAAATAAATTTAATAAAGATTAAACAAATCAATCTACAGTAATCTTCCTTTTGTATTTTAAGATTCTGAAAAAAATATATATTATCTACCCATTTAACACGAAAACAGTTTCGCTCGGGGTCAGTCAGGCCACGTGGCGTTTAAAATAATTTTTTTTATAAAAACACATAAATAGCCAATTTAGAAATATATTTCCTTTCTAAAATAGAAAAAGTCTAGGTTTTAATAATGTACATGCTCTTAAAATTGTCTTAAAAGCATTTTAATTATGTAAAAATATTTAAACTTCAAGTTTTAAACATAGCGTCAGTACAACTACCTTCTTCGTTGGCTTCCAGATTGCAAAGAAAGAACAACGATCGGTGCTTCGCTTTTCTAAGAAAAGTAGTACTTAATGTATCCCTCCGCTTCATGTATACCATATTTGTACATGTATCAGATCCTTGCGATGTGTAATAAGGTTAATAATATAGGTTATTAACCTGAATAAATTATGATTATTTTTGATATTTCTAAAATTATTCGTCTGCAAACTGCAATTATATTGTAAAATTCTATTAAAACGATATAATTCATATGTTCAATGTCACTTTCGCTCACTTTCGTAAAAAAGTCACTTTCATATTTAGGCAAACCCCGATGCGTGTGTAAACCACGTGGTGTAAGTAACGCATTTCATTGGATGCTGTTTTTCGTCAGCGAGAACTTTAGTCACGTATCTTAAAAAAAAAAAATATCTCATTTTCATTTTAAATTTTTTCATCACATTTTTTTTCAAAATAATTATAATAAATAATCATATACTGATATTCGTTCATGTCTTTTTTTTAAAGAAATATTTAAATGACAAATTCTCGCGAGACACGCGAGATTAGGCCAAAACAAAATGACCATGTGGTTCCAGTAACCTGACCGACCCTGTATTTCCGCACCTTATCTAGAACATTTTATTGCAAAAATGGAGTATCCTATAGTTTATATATCTGACATACAGTTAAATTTTAATAAAATACTAATGAAAAATAATGTTTTCCGATCTACCTACACTATTAATTTTCAGCATGTTACCAGAACCTCAAGATCATTTTGTTTTGGCCTAATGACGTTAAACACACAGGCCAATTTTTCCCCATATATATACCTCAGGGCTAATCAATTGACATGCTCTGGATTGCGGGTAACTAATACCTGCACTCGAGCAAACGCATGATCCCTGATTTGAACTTGGGAATACAAATATAATGATAAATGGGCACTATATATGCGCATTTAATCTGGAATGGTGCAATCACACACAGACGATACTTGATACTTAGTAATAACCCGTAATAGATTGTTTAGTAATAGAAAGAGCACCGAAACACGAGGCTATCTGATTTGTACGAGGGGGCGTAGCCCCCGAGTATTAATCAGATTGCCGAGTGTTTTGGTGTTCTTTCTCTTTTGTATCATAGTCAAACATAAAAGCACGTTCCCTGTTGTCACAATATGAAACCCTGGCAAAAATGAACCAATGAACGAACATCTGAATATGACATTTCTGTCGCTTTCCCTTTCTCTGTTGTCACAATATGTAAACCCCAGCAAAAATAAGCCAATCAATGGGGATGCTCTGGAGTGCGGGTAACTAATACCCGCACTCCAGTTAACGCACTGTGCATGTATATGTATACGATTTAACCCTGACACATTTTCAACAGAAAGGTCTCCAAACTATGATACAAACTTGGATTATTCTATGATACTAACGGCCAAAGGAATTTTCAAATTGAAGGAAAATGAAAAAAGGAACTCGGACATTTATTTGTACGAGCGTATATATAATAATTAATATCGTTTTAAACATCAAATAAACACGTTTCTCAGATGTCAAAGCAAGAAAAGGGTTGTACTCAATTGAAAAGTGCGGTACGTCAAGTTAAACCCTCAAAATATACATAAATGGTGTCGGACCCAGCGCACTGCGTTGCAATCAAATCCACCGCCGTCTACGTTGAAATCAATTTTTGTCATTTATTTTATAAAAAGGCAATAACAATTTTCCAAATTTTCCAAATTATGGTTAATTTGTGAAAGTATCATTCATTCGATGTGATGCCGTTTTATTATGGGGTCGTTTTGCACACATGTGTACGTGCTTTTGCCAAAATTAGGCAAAAGTGGCGTCCCCTCGTCAAACTGTACAGAAGTGTCTGCATAAACGGCAATGAATTGCACCGCTTGCGTGTAATAAGTTGAGAGAGTACATATGTGGGTCCCAGTTTCACTAAGTGTTTCCATACAGTAAAACATTAAAACATAAAACAAAATTCAGTCATATACTAAACAACAACAGCAAACGGCCATATTTTATCCACCGTTTCTGCGACGAATACTCCATCGCCGCTGCGATGGACCCACCGCTTCCGCGAAAGCTATGGCCAGTGTGACAATTTTGAAGTGGGGCGACAGTTTGCCGGGCGTGTATTTGCTATTGGTGTATATGTGTACATGTATTAGTACCTATGAGAAGGTCTCTGGTTCGATTCATCACAAACACCATGTTATGATTTTTTTATTTACTTGCAAGAATTCATTTGAAATCGTTTTACTACACCTGGTTTTTGAATACATGTATCTTTTAAGTGGTGTTTTATACACAATTATATTTTTTATTTCATTACAATATTTGTCAACGGTTCTCTTTGTGACATTATGCAATCGTATATGCTTAAGTAAGTACACGCTATTAAAATATTAATGGAAAGTACACACAACAAAGTCGTTTGCAATAGTGTAACTAACATAATGGATATTTTAAAATTTAAGGAAAATCGCTGAAGTAATAGAAAGAGCATCGAAACACGAGGCTATCTGATTTGTACGAGGGGGCGTAGCCCCCGAGTATTAATCAGATTGCCTAGTGTTTTGATGTTCTTTCTCTTTTGTATCATAGTCAAACATAAAAACACGTTCCCTGTTGTCACAATATGAATCCCCGGAGAAAAGTAACCAATGGACGAGCATCTAAATATGACATTTCTGTCGCTTTCATTTTCTCTGCCGTCACAATAAGTAAACCCCAGCAAAAATTGCCAATCAATGGGCATGCTCTGGAGTGCGGGACTCCAGTTAACGCACTGTGCATGTATATGTATACGATTTAACTCGAGCACATTTTCAACAAAAAGTTGATACAAACTATGATACTATATTTACGTCTACATTCTTCAAGTAATTTTGTTTTAATTTTTTTTAATTTACACCATATTAACAATTGGATATTTACATTCATATCGATTTACAAGTAGATTGTAACGTTTACATGTTTACGTAATATACCTTCGCGATCTTGGCGCATGTATAAACTCGTTGTTGCGTATACGGTATATAGTACCTATTTAGGTATAACCTCTACATGGGGGCGGTAAAAATGTATTTATTAAACACGGTGTTATTAAATCATGGACAATTTAAATTTAATAAAGAAGATCTATTTTATGATAAGATAAACGGTTAAGAATTAAATTTAACACCAGTGAAAAACTTGTGATCTTCGTATCAAAATCAACTTACCACTTATCGGCCATTTCACATATACGACTTGTACAGAAAGATCTGGGGCAGGGACTAATTTGAACTATGACCCCAGTCAGATTTATTAATTTTGAAGGTTCTGATATTGCCTTGTCGCTGCTATTATTTCTTGTTTGTGTGTAGGAAATGATCAGTCCTTTGGGGTTTTTACACGAAACTAATGATTTAGGTAGCTTTGTATTTTTTATGTGACTAGGATTAGTATTTTTTTGTGACTAGGGTTAAAAATTTGAAAATGAAGCATTGATAGTTGGTTCCAAACAAGTAAGAAACTTTGGACAAATTTTGTGAAAAACATAAAGTTAAAACGTATGACTGACAGTTAATTGGGCATTTTTGAAAATGCCATTGGCATTGACTGCGCTGTGTGTTAGTGATATATTTATAAGGAATCGGGCGAACTGCACCTTAACGTAGATGGGCGTTACAGTCCAATTGGGAGCATATATTGCAGGTGCGCGATGACGTTGTCCTACCATTGAATCACAGGAACCCGAAATTCTATTCAAAACAAAAAAAAAACAATTTAAAAAAAATCCCATATATATACTAAATTTTTTTATAGTATATATATGGGATTTTTTTAATCGTTATTTTTTTGTTTTGGATAGAATTTCGGATTCCTGTGATTGAATATAACTTCCTGACTGACCCTCACATAAACGGGCGTGCGACATTTAAATGGGACATACGTAGTGACACACAGGTAAAGATTTCGATTTATTTATTGATTTTTTTTAAAGAGCTCTAGATAATTAGATCTTAGAATGCAAACATTTATATGATAAAGCGATTGTGACTTTTTACCTCATAAACTTGAAGCGATATCAGTCATTTTTGTATGACTTGATTATCTAAGGTGATTCCGCTTTGTTAGCACTGCATGGGTCCAAAGTGAAAGTAGGCCAAAATTCATATAACAACAAACCTCACAATGTAAAATGATGAACCATTTGAAAGTACACTTCCAGGTCTATGTTTTAATGACTATTATAAACAAAAACTTAAATCATAACAGTATGAATATTAACCTTGAATGTCCTACATTTCTGAAGACCAAGTACAATCGATTGCAAAGTTTTATGCACATTTCATGAATGGCAAAATCCAGTTTAAAGTCAGTTTAAGTACAGACAAATGCTACTTTTTCCAGCAGATACAAAAAAAATTCAAAACTTATTTCTAAATAAAGCAGTATCTCATCGCAGGTGCTCGCCCAGTCTTGGTGCCAATACACCCCCTTCCCCCCCCAAAAAAAATAAATTAAAAAGCCCCAAAACAACTTTTATGTGATAAATGAACGAAAAAAAAATGAAAAATAAAATTTCCCATATACTTATACCACGAATTTTAACAATTTTCTAAATGCATGATGTGTAAAGAGTAGCAAAAATAGCTTGCATTGTTACAGAATTCGACATTGTGGTTGTTCCACAGTGTGTCCTAGTAAAGCTCCATAGCGTAACGGCGACTATGTGACCTTTTCGTGGTATAAGTTTATAGGAAATAAATCTTTCATTTCAGTTTTTTTTCTTTATTTATTTTTTTTTTTTTTTTTTTTTTTTTTTGGGGGGGGGGGGGGTATGGGAACCAAGACTGGACGAGCACCTGTGTATCTCATGTCCTTTTAAGCACATGTCCTCGATTTTGTTTGTAAAAAAATAGTGCAAAAAAACAATCACCATTTATAGCCTTATGAACTACAAATAAAAAACACATTCAAATTTTAAATTTAAACCTTTCTATTGTGCCAGAGTGACGTGTGTCTGTCTGTCATGTACACAAAAAATAGATAAAAGATGTTTAGTTCTCAGGTACTACTTTTTTACACATGGCATGGAGGCCATGGTTTTTCAAGGTCAGATTAACTACTTTCCTTTGATTTAAGTTTTTTGCAAGTTTTTTGTATATGCTGCAAAAAATAGCATTTGTCTACGTGCAAACGTAGGAAATTCTTATTGAAGATCATTAATCTGATAAATTAGATAATATAGGCTGGGTCATATAGGGATCTATCAATTTTGCTTTCTCCAAAGGACTATTCATAATCAGTTCTTTTCGGGTGATTGCTGGAAATTTCAAGAATTTTATTCAAGCAGTGAGTTTCTGTAAGAATGTTTTAAGGAGTTTTCAGGCAATGACTTATTATTGTGACCAAGGACAGAATAACTAAGTTTTGTTAGACGTGTATGTACATATTATCTGCCATTGAAATGACATTTTCCAAAGTTCAGACTGGTTGTATACATTCATAACTTGCTAAATATTTTCCATTTTACTTTTAGACGAACTTAAATACTATGGTATGAGTAATGGAGCAGTTTCTAAAAGCAAGTAACAAAACAAGTCAACTTTTGGCGGGAAAAGTTGCCGCAGACGGTACTTTAAAGGACGATGATGTGCGCAATGACCTATGTTCTCAGTATAAGTTGACCACGTTGTTGGCCATAAGTGGATACACAATGGAGGCCCATATCCTTCTTGACAGGATTAAGAAGAACTTTATGCAGGTATATTTAGATTTTACATGTCACGTGACCAATTTGAACAATTATTTGTCTTTCATAGTTACACAAAATTTATGTTCATGGTCATCTGCCTACTAGTAGGCTCACTTTTTGTGAATAATAAACTACTTTTATAATCTTTCATTCAGACAGTCTAATAAATAGATATTGTAGTTTGCAAATGTTTATGCATTTAATTATTATGTTTAACTTTTTGAAGAAAAAAACCAAAAACAACCAGAAAAGGGTAAATTGTAAATTTTGGAATGCTGTACATTAAACATACATAGTACACTCATCTAGTTTTTATCTTCATATATACCTAAAGTTACACATCCAAAAGACATTTGCGCAAAATCTGCGTCTAATCATCATTGCCCATTTCTAATTATGATTTTAGAACTAGCTTTGACATGAATATTGTCTGGTTGACCTCTTACAAGATTGTTAATCCTGGGATCAAAATAAGTAATGTGTTTAACTTTCCCATATACACATGAAAATCTCCTGTTTTAATACAAGGACTAGAGCTTAGATACTTAGCTTGAAACAATGTCTTGTAGACTTTCACCAAGATTGTTCAGATTAAAGCCCTGCATGAGGTCAAAATTTGTCCCGCCTGAAGGGTTTTAAGTTTTACACTATATACAGATTAAACATTTAAGATATAACAACTTCATTTTATCCCAATCTGTGAAGGGCTAGAGCTTAGATATTTAGCATTAAGTAATATCTGGTAGACCTCTCCCAAGATTATACAATTTGAAATCACACACTTGGGATCATATGTTTTCACTGTATGTTTATAGTCAACAATTAAAATGGTTCTCTCAAAATCTACTTCACAAGTTTTGAGATGAAAACTTTGATAATTGTTAACCTAGATTTTGACTCGGTGACCTACTGTTTGTAACAGAGCTAGAGCTATGAAATTTGAACTTGTAGCACAGTTCAATTTTTGACCCAGATTTGACCACTGCGGGTGATCACGTGACCAAAATCGTACAATAGGCTCAAAAAATGGCGGCCTAAACGCTCGGTAAAAGTAGTAAAATTGAAGTAAATATACATTTAACGTTAAATTTATATGTAAAACTAGGCTGCACGGAACTTCACATATAAATTTAACGTTAACTGTATGCTTACCTCAATTTCACTGCTTTTACCGAGCGTTTAAGCAGCCATTTCTTGAGCCCATTGACGATTTGGTCACCTGATCATCCGCACGCAGTGATGGACCAGTGACCTTCATTTTTGTATCTAAAACTTGCAGCTATGACAATCGGACACGATGCTCATTTCACTTCACTCAGAATTTAACTTTCAATATCAGCTAAACTAGATTTTGATCAAGTGACATACTTAATTAGAGATTAGTTATAAAATTTGGACTCTATGCACAGTTTCAGATGAAGAATTGAACTTTGACCTTGCTTTTTACCAAGTGGCCTACTTTTTGTATAAAGAGCTACAGCATTTAAATTTACAAGAAAATGTTGTTTTCTGGAAGAATCCTTTTCTACAATAATCTACCTCAGAGGATTTTTAATGAGTAAAGGTTGAGCGTAGCCACCATTTGGCGGTGGTTGAATATCAATCAATGTTTTGTTACAGAATATGACGAAGTTATTTGAGGTTAGTCTTTGTATAGGTTAGAGTGCATATTGGGTGTTCTTCGTAAATAAGAAAGCTCAAAAGGAGCGGAGCTTGCGAAGCGACTGTAGCTTTCTTATTTACGAAGAACATCCAATATGCACTCTAACCGGCTTAGTGCTCCACCCATTTTTTTCCGCCCAACACACTGCGTGACGTCACACAATAGCCTAAATGTGTATAACCATATTTGGAAGAGGTAGCGGTCACGTGTTTTGCATAGGTTGTTCCCGCATTCTGTCTAGGTATTGTTTGGTTTTATTAACCTGTCAATTACATACTGATTACACGGTCGATGCACACAGTATATTAATCTTCGGTAGATTTTCGGTAAGTTCCGTGAGATGTACGCTGTACGATGGAATTTAATTTAATTTGTATCTATAAACTAAGTGCACTCAGCGTTATAGCGCAATAGGGTAAAGCACGAGTTTATAATCTAACTGCCACACGTGTTTTTAAGTTCGAGACCGCGTTGGTCCATGTTTTTTTTCTTATTAATACTTTCAACATTATTGAAGCTATATATGATTATTTTATATTGTTTGTTTTGTTTTATTATGTTTTACTTAATTTTGTTATGTCTATACTCATTTAAATAACATGTTTAAGAATTCATGTTAAAAAATTAAAACGGATTAAAATCAATAAATGTATTTTCAATGCCGTAAAACACACTACAAATATGTTCCTTTAAAATATACTGCAAAAATAAAGAAAGAGTATTAGTGGCAACAGTAAGGATCGAACCACAGACCTCTCAATTATCAGGCATTCTCTTTACCGACTGTGCTATCGTGAATTAACGAAAACCTTCACATTAAGCTGGTGTGACTTTCAATCCATGACTTATATACTCCACATTAATTCTCGTAAACTACACGGACCAAACCGAAGTGGGATCGAATATTTAAAAGAGTCCTGTAATGTATTCATAATTGACAGGTCAATAAAATCAGACTATAAATCAGACAATATCACGGGGCATATCCATATCGGTACCCTCTTTGCGAAATATTCTCAAACGGTACCCTCTTTGAACATACACAGGTCATTCTCTGCTAAAAACAAACCAGCGATGGATAACAATGCAAAAATTCATTGTCATAAGGAAAGGAGGTATGACACGTAGAAAAGCTGATACCACGGAACACTAGAATGTTTTATTTATGTGCTGATTTGTCATGTGCCCGATTTTCATGTACTGCAACTTCACAATAAGCTACAAAAAGTCGACATGTCTTGCCTCGCCCGTCACCTCAACATATTTTTCGGGCTGAAATGAACCTGTAGCTTGATTATATATGCATCATATATATTTATTATGTTCATATACATATCATCTTCGGACAAATGACCGTATATTGTCAAAAAAATGTAAAATTAATAAAAACACCCTACTTTCGGTTTTGCAGCGGCACGGGCTGTTATATTTACATAAAAAGTAAGAAATATTACATACATACTTTGTTGGAATAAGTGAACTTTTTATTTGGAAATTATAAAATGATACTGGTTCCGTAAGTAATAAAACATTTTTACTGTTATTGTGCCTGTTTTCATTTCAATGAACCTCTTTTTTTAATTCTATGCCGTAGTGACGATATACATGTGCGTGTACGGAAAAAACATGATGCATAAATATTGATTAGTAGGAGTAAACTTCAAGATCTCTGCACATGCGTATATTTCACTTTAGCGCTCTTCGAAACTTAGCTCCGCCCACTTGCGTTTTATAATATAAAACGTCCAGTTTATATAAAATCTGTTCTATTAAGATTTGAAACCTGAAAATTTGAAAAATCCTCGTCTGTGATTGGCTTAAAAAAATTGGCGAGCACTAATGTCAGTTGTTTAACTGGGAACACACTTTATTAGTCCCCTACCGGTTTAACCGGAGGGGACTTTAGGTTTACCCTCCGTCCGTCTGTCCGTCTGTCCGTCTGTCAGTCCGTCCGTCCACAAAACTGGATCCCGCGATAACGCAAAAAGTACTGAAAATATGTTTATGAAACTTGATATATGGATAGATGGCAGTATGGAGGTTATGCACGTCTTTTTTTTTTCTTCCTATGTTGAAAACTCTGGTTGCTATGGCAACAAATAGTCTGAAAATATGGCAAATTTAACACATAAACTGGATCCAGTGATAACTCAAAAAGTACTGAAAATATTTTTATTAAACTTGAAATATGGGTAGATGGCAGTCTGGAAATTATGCACATCTTTTTCTTTTCTTCCTATGTTGAAAATTCTGGTTGCTATGGCAACAAATAGCCTGAATTTCAAGATTTCTGATTTAAATTTTTCAGCTTTTTCACTATGTGTTCTTTATTTCTTAAGGTGTTTACTTCAAACTTTAAATATAAGTTTCTGGTCATCAACCACATCATATGTGACAAGGTTTATAACTCTAGCACAAAAATATCAGTATTACCTCCCTTGAACTTAGATTTTTTAGGGGAAAAAATGTTGTCTTTTTTAAATAACTTCTTTATTTCCTAATGTATTTACTTCAAACTTCATATATATGTTTTTATTATCACTCGACATTTTTGAGAAGGTTAAATACTCTAGCAAGACTATTTCCAGAATTATGTCCCCCTTGAACTTAGATTTTTTTCGAGAAACTGGTATTTTCACTCCAACTTCTTCATTCTTTATAGGATTTACTTTAAAATCCCACATCGAAATAATATGACAAGGTTGTATAAACATAATTTCCTTACTAAGCATGGAAATTAACACATTACTGTGATATAGACAAACTTATTTTATTTTGTTTTGTGGTCGATATTTTCAAATACAGACTTCATCCTCAAATTCATTATAAATGGCAATACACAGGAGTGTATGACAATTAAAGAACTTTTTGAGGGACCGGTAGGGGACTATTGTATTGCCCGCAATACTATCAAATGCTTGTTCTAATTACCATTTATTTCTGTGTGAATGTATATATATGCTCCGAGGAAAAATGCATGTACAGAAATAACATTACTCTTCCATGTAAAGGCAAATGGCGATTTTATTTCGTACCCTGAGAAAAATGAGAGAGGAAGAAAAAGTTCATCATTCCCCATGACACACTACTGGTCGTATATGAATGCATGGATAGCAATGGGCGCCCAGAGATTAGGAAGGTAGCGGTTTATATAGAATATCAAGTTTTGTTTCAGGGTAACAAAAAATTGAATATATTTCAACAAGTAATAAACACACAGTGTACTGTTTCAATTAAGGTATTTTGAGCTGCCAGACGATTGTGTCTGTTAACTCCGCTAATGCTTAAAGACTTAATGCTGGACTTTCTAATCACAGATGATTTCCAATGCTGTCATATTCACTGTTTGTTATCCAGTACTGGGTTTTATAAGGTAAAATGTGTTGTGCTTATTTTATGAGCTCATATTAATTGTATTTAGTCTACCGATGTTTTGTGTCGATGTCTTGTGTGTAGGTCAATTTGTTGCAGAACAAGAAAATAAACATATAACGTTATCCAGTAGATATAGAGTACTGTGTTCAGAAAATAAATGTGTAGTACTTGTTTTATGAGCTCCAGTTTTGAGTCTTTAGACTGTTTGTGTCGATATATGGGTATAGGTAATTTTGTCACAAAATAAACATATCTCTGATATTATCAGACAATATGTATATGACTTTGTGTAAAAAAAGTGTCATATAAAAAAGTGTAAAATAATTATATTAGTACTTAACCATATTATATAACTGTTATGTTGTTTTTGTGTTTTATTATTATTATTTTTGTTCTTTTAGATTCGATATATCGTTTCCAGCTTTCGAATTCTGCAAGACTTTTTTTAACCCAGATTACAATCTAGTCTGTGTCACAGAGGCGTTTGTTGAAGTAAATGATGAATCAACTATGGACACACTGTCTACTGCTCACTTTGGACTTCTTTCCCTCTACATTGGCGGTATGTATTGTATGACGTAATTGCCTTAACTTAACCGAATTTACAATAAATAGAATTCGTTAAGAGATATTTTTATTCAAGTTGCTAGCTGGATAATTAATACTTCGCTGATTTCTGTTATCATATTCTAACAACATGCCAAGTCTACTGTAAAGAAATTCTATTGAACAGTTTTAATTTTGCCTATATGTCTATATGAAAACTCCCGAAAACGTCCTTAACACGAAAGTAGTTGTCGCCAAATTGGTCTTATTGTTGTTAGTGCCGAACTACAACAAAACTTAAATCAGCGAAGTATTAATTATCCAGCAAGCAAGATAATTTTTGTCTCCTCAAATGAAAAGATCTGAAGTTATTTTTGGCATTCGAACCCGCAGTTGCACGTGAATTCAAGTAAGTGACAGAAGCGTCCTTAAAAATATAAAATACATTAACATGTTACATGTACATGTGTGAATTGTATGGTTAAGCATAAATATATACAAAAATGTATATACATTTATTATTTATCTGCAGACATTTTTAAACCAGTGGTTTTAAATTTCAAAGTGCTTTTTTTCAGATTTGGAAAGAGCAAAGTTATGCGGAGAAGGCCTACTCAATCTAATGGCTGCGCAACCAAACCTTGAAAACGAACTTCTTTTACGAATGTCAGTAAAGACCGGTGATCTTATTGCAAACCCTCCAGAAAATATGGAACCTTTCTATGTCATAAAAAGGGATTCACCAAATCAGTTATATTTTTTCCTTGGTTATCATGGAATTTTTATGACAAAACTGTACCAAGTTACAAAAGATCAGCGATTTCTAGATAGTGCAAAGGCGATGCTTAACTTTGCTTTAGTTTGCCACGAGAGTATATATACATTCAGTTTCAGCCACAAGGTGGCGTACGCTTCAGCTCTTCTGGCAGCGGAGACGAAGGAGGAAAAGTATCGTACGTTAACTTTAAAGATTGGAGAGTATTTAATCTCTATGCAAAGTGAGGACGGATATTTCTGTAAATATATGGAGCCAATTGATAAGTATGATCAATCAACAGAAATAGCTATTTGGTTACGAGAAATTAAGAATGAAATGCAGAAAAACTAACCGTGACCTTTCCCTATTACGACATTTTTTATCTCCTTGAAACTAGCGTTTTAACTACAAGTGTCAATTGATTTGTAATCGTTTTTGATGACATAATTCAAAATTGTTGAGGACTTGTTTTATACAGACAATATTACATATACGACTTGTATACAGAAAGGATGATAATAATTCCGTTAGTATGTGGACATGTCATATATATTCTTGGTGATGTGTTCTGTGTAATTTATGTATGTCATAATCACTATCTGTAATAATCACAAGGGAAAAATAAACAATTTATCAACAAATAAAGAAATATTTTTTAACATTTTTGTCTGGGGTTTAATTCACACTGATCACTAATGATCAAATGACGACTTCCCAGGAAGACCTAATATGCCACTCTGTGCACTATTGTAGGCACGAGCGATCAACAGAGAGGAACCATCGACCTTCCGTCTTTTTGCTGCAACATGAGATTGTCCAATGGGCAGATCTTATTCGAATGTCTCTTTAGTTTGGCATTGTGTTTACCTACCGGCCCGTATCGTCTTTATAATTTAGTGGAAAGATATTTCAGTATATCTCATCAAAGCATAAACCAGGGTCTTTCAAATAGAATGGTCTGGAGTCGGACCAATTTTATGAAAAAAAGATGTCTCGGTTGAATCACGTGATTAGGTTAAACTTACTTACCGACCGTCACCTGGCATAGTACATCACCATTCAAAAATCAAATTAGAAGATAATGTTTTGTTAAATTGATCAAAAAATACTTAGAACTTATGCTTGCTACATTACATTATCAGTTTTTACTTTAAGATTTTCTATTTGAAAGACCCTGCATAAAGTAAGTAACTGATGTTTCATTTATGATATTTTTGTTCATTATTTTGTAGGAAAGTTATGTTTTATTTTCTTTCCCATTTCTCTTTTATGCAGTCTTCAAACTCGTATTTGCTTGGGCAGGAGACACAATATCATTTGTCAATTTATTGCCAAGGTATTTCTTGCTCCACTGGTTTCCGAACAATTCTCATAATTCAGGCTTTGAAAATTTTTGTTTGAGTTCAAACTATGGTTGTTCTTTCTGTATACATAAAAGAAAGAAAAAGTCCTACATATTGTTAATCCACCATGTTATTTTACCGATCGACCATTTCTTCAAAATATTCGTCTTTACTTTAAAGTGAATTTGACCATAATGGAAGATTTGTAACATCATAAAACCACGAAAGAATTATGTATGGATGTTGTTTATGTGTGATACATGGTCCGATATTACATATCTTTATATAGCAGATAATAAATTGTTTTGGAACAAAATATGTTATTTTTCGTCACATAAACGCTCATACTTAATCATTTAGAACTCTACCAACATTTCATTTTCTAAAATATGTTAAGAATGTTCAAACGATGAATTTCTATTGTTTTTTATGCCCCCGGGCATATAGTGATTGAACCGTCCGTCTGTCCGTACGAGGTTAACCTAGAACGGCAAGTTGGATTTTTCTTAAGTTCTACCTGTACCAATGGCTTCTAAGTTTACACACTTACTAATCAATACAAAGTACATGATCTGGGCAAGTTACATAACTCTGGCTTTCATATTTACCAAGTTATTGCCCTTTTCAGCACTTAGAAAATGAATAATGGTTAACCTAAAACGGCAAGTTGGAAATATCTTAAGTTCTATCTATACTAATGGCTTTATAATTTCCACACTTACTTATCAATACAAAGTTCATGATATTGCCAAGTTATATAACTGTGTTATCCATATTTCCCAGTTATTTCCCTTTTTTCACTTTGAAAATAGGGCCATGTCTGGTTAACCTATTTCGGCAAGTTGGATTTACCTTAAATTTCTCCTAATTGCTTAATTTCTTTAATGATATCTTTTATATTTAGTAGGTGGATACCTTTGATGGTCCTCTAATTTTTTGAGGAGTAAGCGGTCTCTAGGGTTAAGGTCAAGGTCACTGGTTTAAAAAATAAATATTAACATTTTTGCTCATACAGCCTTTATATTTTAGTTGATGTTTTAGTTTAATACAAACATGCCAAGGGAGGTCCTCCTTCTTTGGGTGTAGTAAGGGGTCATTTGGGTCAAGGTCAATGTTACCAATGTCAAGGTCACCAATGTTAAAAATAGATTTTTACATTTTTGCAGGTGTATTGACCTTATTCTATAGACAGATGTTATTTATAATTGATAGAAACATAAACTTTGATGGAGTTAGTGGTCAGTTGGGTCAATGTCACCAGTGCTAAAAATAGATTTTTACACATTTGCTCATACAGCCTTTATTAAGTAACAGATATATTTTATATTTGGTAGGAAGATAACTTGCATGGTCATCATTTTGATTGGGGTAGGGATCAGTGGGTCAAGTTCACCAGTGCTAAAAATATATTTTTACACTTTGCCTATATAGCCTTTATTTATTGACATATGACATTCAAACTTGGTAGGAAGATATCTTGCATAGTCTTCTTTCTTTGGATTGAGTTAGAGGTCATTGGGTCAAGGTCACCAGTGCTAAATATAGATTTTTACACTTTTTCCCATACAGCCTTTATTTAATTACAGATGTATTTCATATTTGGTAGGAAGATAACTTGCATGAAGTTGAATATTTTTCATCAGAGCCTTCAGAGAAATGACTTGGCAACTTATATTTTTCACAATTACAAAATGCTATGACTTTGTCAAGCTATATAACTTGTGTTTACAATTTTTTGGCAATTTGTCTGTCCATAACTGAGTGAATGGGTAAACATTTTTTGAAATATTGCTACTGACAAGAATCTGAGCCGGGGGCATTTGTGTTTAACAAACACGTTCTTGTTTTTATAAAAATTTTTTAAAAACTTAAAAATTAATATTTTTGAAAGGGTCTGATTTTCTACCCAAATTTTTCTGAATGTATTTTAAAACCAGAATTTTTTAATTTAAAATCAATGGCATGGTAAAACTATAGCTTCTTTTATTGTTGTTTCTACAAGAAAAAGGTTCACTTACCTGTTTGATCTGAAGGGAACACGGTTTTTAAACCCACTTTTTTTACTTTGAATTTGTGTTTTAGAATGTTAAATTTACCTTTTTTTTAAAAGGCAGAAAACTGATTTTTTTTAAATTTTTCTGTGTGCAGACGCCCAAATGCAGAATTTTTAAAATCTGTCACTTCATTTTTCTTTTTTTGAAGATTTTTTTTTAATATAAATTTTCAGTCAAATTAAATTTAAAAACTAATTTATGAAAAGTTTATGATTGATTAAGGTCGGAAATTCACTACATGTTTTTGTATATAAACGATTTTCGTATGTAGATTTTATATGAGATTTCAATATGGCCGCCATTGAAATCCATGATTTCAGATTCAGAAATCCGGCCGTCTGTCCATTGGAGGATTCCCGGATGTCTGGTGTTTCATTGGTGGATTTCAAACACAGAACCTTATAAAAGTCAGAATCCAACATATGTTGTCACTTCGGTCTTTGCCTCCAAGTTATGTAAATAAAGTTTTAAAACCGCCAAAGTTCAAATACAGTAAACATCTTACACTGTAAAAACGGGCGTTTAAGTTTTAAACACATTTCGAAACACTTTTCCTGATACACTTTGGAAACACTATAGAATGGAACACGTCACATGTTCACGAATACACGCACAAATGTTCCTGTTTTAAACGCTTCCTGGTGTCTCAAACTGAAACATGTTACATGTTTCATAGCAGAATAATGTTACAGTTTGGGAACACCTGAACATGTACAGTAAACACGTTTGGTGTTTCAAACTGGAACTTGCAACATGTTTCCAAACCCACGTGTGCTGTTTTCAAAGCGTTCCTGATAAACATGTTATATATTTCAATTTCAAATGCATTTCGTGTTTTTACTGTATATGTTCAGGTAAGATCAAAACAGCTAAGGAAATACGTGTACAGCATAATTTATTGTAACTACAAACAATGCTAATGTAGTATTTTTTGGAATTTATTTATTATAACATTATACAGTTTATTTCAATTTCAATTTAACATAATTCAAGAATACAACTTTGCTAAACACAAGCATGAAATGAGCTGTTAGAGCGACAACATGCCTGCACTATTCTCAATGCTTGATAGTTCTAATCCAGCATTTACTCTGAAATGAGGCATATTTCAATCAAATGCATTACCAATGGGTATTGGTAAATAATATTTTCGTATCTAACACATGAACAAAGTTTCGGCTAAAATTTTATGACTGGAGATACAACTTTCACACAAAAAATTACATAATTTTATATATGCAGAATTTTATAAAAGGAACATCATTTAGTCAAAATGCAGAACAGAGTTATTGTTCTATTATGTGAACTTATATTAACATACAAAAAATGTGTGAAGTTCCAATAAATATCAGAAGTGGTTGTCTTTCTTTGTCTAAAAAACTTAACATTGTGTCATGCAACACTAATGCTAAAATCAGCTGCTAAGCTATTGCCTTACCATTTTTTAAATAATCAAACCATTTTTTAAATAATCAAGCGAAAAATTATGACATCATCAAACATCTGTTGCAAGAAATATGAAATTATTACTTTGTACTAAAAATAGCCAGATTTCTATTGGTTAAAATCATTCGCTTTTTATAAAATATGTGTGTTTTTTCATGAAATATTGTGCTATTTATATAAATGGATAATGCAACAGTCGTCCTCTGTAATTAGCATAGTTGATCAGGAGCAATATATTAATAACTCATGATCAGCATTAAGTACAGTCTGTGATAAACATAAAATAAATAAATATAATAAAAAAGTATGTACTTAGTAACTTTTAATTTACTTTCAAACTAAAAAAACTACAGTTAATGAAACAATTTATCTTTGTAACAAAACATAGGATAAAACAATTATGGATTTACTACTCATTTAATATGATGAGATGTTCATCCCTCAATAATGCCTTCAGCTGGCAAATATCACATCTAATTTATGAAATCAGTTCTTCAAAAATACTTATGATGAAGATTGTGAATAGTTAAATATTAAGGAATCAATCACGACTGTCAAAAGAAGAGCATAAAAATTCTCAATTCAACAGGAAAACTGCCTGATCATAGTGCATTTGTAATGGACATAATACAAATTTGGATGCAATAAAATGTTTATATGAATATTCAAATATTGGATTACATTTAAATGCTCTATACAAATATTCGAATACCAAAATCAGTATTTGTTGCCATTCCTACAATAAACTATGACAGTACTTGAAATTCCAACATTGTTATAATATTAACCAAAGTGCTATAATATTAACCCGTCCAACAAGAGCTGTATGTAAGACAGCGTGCTTGACTTATCTCAGTGCTGAATAGTAAAACATACTTCTGAGAAAGTGTAAACTGATAATTATCCACTTGAAAGTAAAGTTCAACTTTTCACTTAATGATGGCTGGATCACTTGAGACACAATGGCTTTTTTTCTTTTCTCTCAATCTCCGTGTTCACTCTCTTTAAATATTGAACAAATCCATAGCTCTTATGCCAATCAAACTGCTGCTGAATACAGTTTGCTGAAGGAACCCAAGCACCTGTGTATACATACATATTTCATTCATAGTAGCATATAAGCAAAAGAAGTTAAGCAATTGCAGAAATCCCTATTCATTAAACATAGTAATGATTCAAATTTCGGGGAAAAAAGTTTTTGAAATTGTGATTAAGAACACAAAATCACATAAAACTGGAAAACTCGCATTAATTATTTATCAAACAAGTGTGCATGCCAAATCTGACATGCTGATAATTATGGGAATAAGATGTTAAGGTATACTCCCTACAAAGGTTTGATGTAAAATATTTACATAGATGTACAGACATGTCAATCACTGAATCACAGCTGGTCACATAAAAAAGAAGTTTTAGGACATTAAAAGATTTGAATATCTAACACCCTTACCTTAAATATTTGCATCTAAGGCCTTTTTTCTGTAAGCTGTTTTTTCTAAAACCCTTGGGACTGCCCTTAGACATCCTGAAAGCAAATTTGAGCCGACTAAAAGAAAGGGGGCAAAATTCAGATGAAAATGTTCTCCGAATTTTTAAAAATGATTTTTAATAAATTTGTTTTCAAAAAAGGTGGTTTTTTGCATTTTAAAGGGTTTTTTAGATATTATTAGGAAAAATTATTTATTAAACTTTCTAAAAAGTACAAAATAATTATCAATTTGGGAATCAATATAATTTTGGAACCATAATTTTGTGCTGGTCTTGGTGACCAAGGCATTGATTTAAATGTTGTTCTATCCCCATTA